GACCTTTAATCCCATCTCTGTACTATGCCAAATTACTTACTTTCTCCGTTTAATTTTCATCTTAATTACCACTTATTGATCTATTAATTGGCTCATTGTTTATTTTTTCCTAGGCACAAGATTACATAATAATAGTGTAAATGGCAGTAAAGGCAATCCTGAGGCAGAGTGCTTTTCTTTCCATAATGGTAAATCCCTGCTAAAGTCACCTTTACATTATATAGAAAATACACAAACAAATGGTTATGGTTTATTTCCAAAAAGCTTTACAAAAAAAAAAAAAAAGGTGGCAGGCTGGACATGGCCCACATTCTACAGTTTGCTGGGGCTTTCATTTTTATTATCAGCTGGGCCCAGGAAGGCACATGGGTTCACAATCTTTAGTTTAGTGGAGACAAACCTCATAGATGCAGGTGGCATAGTTATGTACAGGTGCTATTTGTGTAGATTTTCACAGGGGTGCAGGGGTGTTGGTGCTTCTAACCTCCACATTGTTCAAGGGTCAACTGTATGAGAAAGCCTTGGTGGATATTTTCAAATAACAATTCTCTCTCCAGGTGCTGACATTCTTCCTTAGGCGATGGCAATTCCAGATGAGCCAGTTAATGATTCATTCATTCATGAAATATCTCTCAAGCACCTACTAAATGTCAAGTACTGTACCGAAGACTCAATGAACAAAAGTAGACAGAGGCACTCCCCTAATGAGCTTACAGTCTAGGGAGTGTGGGGGAAAAGAAGAGTCAAACACTGATCAAATGATCACACAGGTAAATGAAGGATTGAAAACTGTGAACAATACTATGAAGGACAGGTGCTCAGTGGTATGAATAACTTAACCTCTTCTGCGGGAGGGTAAGTTGGTGGGGGAAGGCTTTTGCAATTTGAAGGAAGGTGAGAAAAGTTTTCCTGGCAGAATTGCTATAGATCTGGGAACAAAATCTGTGGCTTGAGTACACAGAGGAAGTGATGTGGTATGAAATGGGACTGGAGAGGTTAAAAGGAGTCCAATTACGGAGTATTTTATAGACTGCATTGGGTTATCATTTCAATCAAAGTTGGAGGGGAAAGATTGGGAACCACTGTCTGAACAATTTCTTTAAACACCAAGTTAAGAGTAAAGTTTTCCTTTGTGCCTTTTTAAGACTTGAAAAACTTTTCCTTTTATTTCTCCCTTCTTTTTTCTCCCATATGTTTTTACTTTCTGATGAGTTGGCTTTTGAGTACTTAAGCAATTCTTGCATCCCAAGGTTTCTTTGGCCAAGTTCACAATACTTTTTTCTTTCTCTTTATTTGTCCTTTTAAACAGTCTGATAGTTATTTTTTATTTATTTTTACCTTACCATGCCCTCTGTTTTCCCTATAGTTTAACATTTGATCCTACAAATATGTGTGGGTGTGTGCATATATGGATGCATACAGACACACATAAATATATAAAAATATGTATATATTGCATATGTATATTGCATATGTTAAAGCAACCAGATTAGGCCTAAGATGGAGTTGCTTATGATAAGCCCCATGTCAGCAAACCAAAACTTAACTAGTTTCTGTGCTCAGTTCTAGAAAAGGAGGGCTTTGATCAACCAGTCAATGCTTGCCTGGTCAATATAAGTTACCTAACCAGATTAGGCCTAAGATGGAGTTGCTTATGATAAGCCCATGTCAGCAAACCAAACTTAACTAGTTTCTGTGCTCAGTTCTAGAAAAGGAGGGCTTTGATCAACCAGTCAATGCTTGCCTGGTCAATATAAGTTACCTAACCAGATTAGGCCTAAGATGGAGTTGCTTATGATAAGCCCATGTCAGCAAACAAAACTTAACTAGTTTCTGTGCTTGTTCTAGAAAAGGAGGGCTTTGATCAACCAGTCAATGCTTGCCTGGTCAATATAAGTTACCTAACCAGGCTCTAAGAGCTTTCTTTGCTCTATATAGGGAAACTACCCTGGTTTTAACCAATCAGCAAATGTTCAGTATAACTTCTTAATTCCTGCTTACTTTGGTCTATAGAAATCTCTTGCCTTGTATAGCTTTTCAGAGCAGCTCTCCATCTGCTAGGTTGGTTGCTACCCAATTCATGAATTGCTGAATAAAGTCAATGAGATCTTTAGTATTTACTTAGTTGAATCCTGCTCTTTAACACACTGTTAAAAACAAGACAACAGGCTCCAAATGGAGTCACCTAATGCTAAGCCCTATATCATCAAACCAAGACACTTTTGGCTCTCCCAGAAATGGAATATTAGTTGATCAGGAATCGCCTGATCAACATTAGTAAGCAATTAATATGCCTGTTAGATCTGGCCATCTCCTAAAAGAAAGTAACTGTGCAATAACCAGTCAGCTTTTGTGTCTAGTTCCTTCCTTATTCCTGCTCCCTTCCACCTGTAAGTTTCCATTTTGCATAGCTCCTCTGAGCTTTCTTCTATCTGCTAGGTTGGATGTTGCCCAATTCATGAAGTGTTATATAAAGCCAATGATATCTTTGAAATTTATTCAGCTGAATTTTAACAACATACAACACACATGCAATTATTTAAAAAAGATGATTTAGAAATGAAGTGTATTTCCACCAAACACATATTTAATGGATAGAACTCTTATTCCAGGAGGGGAGATTAACTTGTCTTTAATCATTAGTTTATTACATAAAATGTTATTACACAACACATCCTTTTTGCATTAATTTTCTTTTTGTAGCCTTTAAAGATAATTTTAACCTTTCATTCTATATGGATTGATATGAAACCTGTGTGTGTGGGGGGGGAGGGGTTGATACCTATCTTCCTGTTTCCTCTGCCTTTTGACCACTCAAATTCAAAGATAGTCAAACATGATTACCCCCCCCTTTTTTTTAAGATTTTATTTATTCATGAGAGAGAGAGAGGGAGAGAGAGAGAGAGAGAGGCACAGAGACACAGGCAGAGGGAGAAGCAGGCTCCACGCAGGGAGCCTGATGTGGGACTCAGTCCCAGGAGTCCAGGATCACACCCTGCGCCGAAGGCAGGTGCTAAACCGCTGAGCCACCCAGGGATCCCGATTACCCCTTTTAACGCGACTTAGTGCCTTTTCAATGCTCATAGTCAAGAACTCCAGTGTGGTCTAAATAAACCTCTTCCTATTAGTCATAGTAAAACCAGGGAAAGTCGGATGGAGCTGGGTCAAGTGGTAAAATACACAACTGATGAGGGGAAAAAAAATAGGAGCTGGGAAGAGAAAAGAGAGGGGAAGAGGAGCAAGTGTAAGATTGGTAGGGAAAATGTGGATAACAGAAAAACTGGGAAGAAAGAGAGGCTGAAGAGCCAATTTGACTCAACCTCTCAGGAAGTCTGAACAAATTCCTGTTCCTAGTGTTCATTTATTGTGCTAATTCAGAATTTAGGCAGCCATTAGTACTTAACTATTTCAACATTGTTAGAATATTGCTCCATGAAGTGTTCCATTGTAAGGGGACACAAGAATCTGGCTGTGCTGTTAATCAGTTTTGTGTGGAGCTTTCCATGTGCAGGAGTGTCCACAAATGTAATCTGATGGTGGACTCAGGAAGGAGGCCCTAAAGGAGGTTGTAGTGAAGTTTTCAGTGACACAGCCCCCTTTCTGAAGGTCTTAATTTTGGCCAAGTCTCTTGTTCTGCTCTAGGGGAGCCTCGGCTAACGAATTCATGTAGAGTTTACTACCTCATTGATGAATGGAAATAGTACATATTATCTAATTCTACCTCTTCTTGGCTTTACTACATTCTGTTGTGGGTAAGTTAACCACTTTGTGTCTGAACTTCGATTTACGTAAAAGTTAAAATATTACCTACTTCGAAAAGGGTATTACGAGAATTGTTACTCAATACATACATAAACGTAAAGCACTTTGAACCATGCACATAGTAGATGCTAAAAAAATGTGAGCTATTAGAACTGACTTAGATGAAAAGTGTTGTTGCAAATATGACCTGTTCCTCTGGGCTGGCAGATTTCAAACTTTGGTGTGGGGACTAACTCGGGGTGGTGTGTTTTGGAGACCCTTTTCAGGTGTCTGTGCAGTCAAAACTATTTTCTTCACAATACTCGGAGGTTATTTGGCCTTTTCATTCTCATTTTCTCAAGAAGATGCAGGAGTTTCCAGATCTATGTGACAAGTGGTAACGTTGACATACAGAAGCAGCTAGAGAATCCCAAGTGTCTTCTATCAAACCCAAATATTAAAGAGAATGTCCTCATCAAACTTTTTTTTGAAAACTTGTAAAAATGTCATTTACGTTAACGTGTATTAGTTACCGTAAATAAAATTCTGAAATTTCTAATTTCAAATACGACGAATGTCGATATAACCTACAAAACAAAAGCTCTTTGGGGTCCTCAAGAATCTCCAAGAGCGTAAAGGGAGCCTGCGGACAAGAAGTTTGAGAGACCACGCTCTGGTGCAACTGGCAACTGAACACGCGTGCACGGCTCGCGTCGCCACTACTGCAGCCTTTCCAGCCTCTTTTCTTGTCAGGGCTGAAATTCTTCCATTTCTGCCTGCCAAAGTCCTACCTCCTTCTAGGGCACCTTGTTCTCCTGGACACTGGCCCCGATGTCGCGCCCTGCTTGGTACCCTCTTTCCCGCACGAGCGACCCCCGGGTACCTGTGGGCCTCGGACAGGCACCTGCCCTTCCCAGTCTCGGCCATCACTCAATTTTATTCCTCGACTCAGACTCTCTTGCAGGTCGGGTCTTCTCCAGACCGAGGAGCTCCTCCCGGCACCAGCTCGGCTCACCCGTACTCAGCCACTACGGGACGCTGCCTGGCCTTAACCAGGCCCGACCGCGCGCCAGGACCCGGAAGCGAGTCCCGCGAGCACGGCCGCGGCGAACCGCCAGCGCCCAGACAGAGCGGCCACGCCCAGCGCCGCTCCCCGCCCACCGGAGTCCCGGGAGCAGCCAGCCGCGCAAGGGGCGGAGCCACGCGCCCACAGGGGGCGTGGCCTCCAGCGCGCGCGGGAAAGGGGCCGGCGTCGCATGCGCGCGCACAGTTGACGGCCGCGCGCAGCACGCTCGGGGCCGGGATGGCGGCGGCGGCTGGAAGCGGGACGCCCCGGGAGGAGGAGGGGCCCAGTGGGGAGGCGGCGGCCCCGCAGCCGCAAGCCCCGACGAGTGCGCCCGGGGCTCGTCTCTCGAGGCTGCCTTTAGCGCGAGTGAAGGCTCTGGTGAAGGCGGACCCTGACGTGACCCTCGCGGGACAGGAAGCCATCTTCATTCTGGCACGAGCCGCGGTGCGGCGAGAGCGTCAGGGCCCCCCGGCGTTGCGGGGCGGGGTCTCGGGAAGCTTCCGGGGGGCGGGGCCTAGCGACGTCGGGGGCGGCTTGGGGGGGAGGAGGAAGAGGAGGAGGAGGAGGAGGTGTGGACCGGGTGTTCGTATAGCGTAGGGAGGTGAGGCAGGTGCCGGGCAGGCTTGTCAGACGGAAGTGTAGGCGAGAGGACGGGGGTAAAGAGGCACATACCTACAGTAGTTGTATTGATTTGTTAGCACCTGCCTCTTCGTAAGGGATTTGGACGACTTTAAGTTGCGTTTCGAGTGTCTGGCACAAGTTGTAGGAGTCTCAATGAGTGGGGTGGATTTTTTATAAGTGAGGGAGGAGGTACGTGGCCTGGCCTACCGAGGTAGGGGGAAAGGGAATCCTGAAGCCTAGGACTGAGAACCTCTCTGTGCACCAGAGCACCCCTTACTCCCTTCCCACCACTCAAATAGAAGCGCTCACAAGACTTGTGCTAGAACCTATTGATTCAGTTCTCCTTGTTCGCTTCACAGGAACTATTTGTGGAGACCATTGCAAAAGATGCCTACTGCTGTGCCCAACAAGGAAAGAGGAAAACCCTCCAGCGGAGAGATTTGGGTAGACTGTCAAACTCTGGTATTTTGGTGTCTGGGAGCAAAGAAGGGAGGGCTGGGGGAGGCTTCCCTCTCATTGGTGGATAAGCCATCACTGTAAGATGAGAGGTGCCACAGGGTCTCCCTATGATGTTTTCTTTTGGACTGCCACAGTGATAGAAAGTCCTACCTTTAGCTGTGGCTGGAGAGGTGGTGGGGTAGGTAATGAAAGGAGTCTAAGTGTTGCTAAAGCTGACTGGACCCCTTCATACCTTTTGCCATGTTGTACCAGGCTTGACACTTCTTTTCCCCTGAGAAACTGGGGGTTTGATTTCTGCCTCTTCGTAGTTGGTCACCCTTGTACATGTGAAAGATTTTGTATCCCTTAATCCCACTGCTGTTTTGCCAGACTCTTTTTTTTTGATGACTTTCAGAGCAAAGAGGTGCCCCTGCTGAACAGGGTTTACCTAGAGTTTTCTTACTTTTGTAGAGAAACAGCTGATACGTAAGATTTGGTGGTAGAGTAGAAATGGATCTCATGACAGCAAGGGACAAATTTTATAAATGCCCTCATTTGCATAAGGTGTCATGCCCTTCGTTATGTAGTTGTGGTTTTTTAAAGAGTTTGATGTCCAAATGACCAGAGTTAGTCAAGGGTCCCTTTACCATGTGTTTCAGATAATGCAATAGAAGCTGTGGATGAATTTGCTTTTCTTGAAGGTGAGTTCTCTGTCGATGAGTAATCATTTCCACCTGTCTTTCCCATTCTAATGATCTGAGTTCAAAACCTTATAAAACTGCTACCTGCTTTAGGGGTAATTCTTTTCCCTCCTTCCTATTAAGTTGGGAAAAACTAATATCTTAAATCTAGTGAGATTTACCAATTCTCATTCTCTTGGGTAATTAGAACTTCTTCCTGAAAATTGCTAATTATAAAAAATGAGAGGGAATATAAAGACCCTAGAGTTAGGTGGATTGAGAAGTTTGATATCTACTTTGATCTCTATTCCTGTGTATAATCTTCCCCTTATCATGATGCTAGAGATCAGAAACAGTTGCCAACATTGCAAAAGCAAAGTGTTGCTTCTTGTTCTTTTTCCTTCAACAATATTTCCTTCAGTATAACGTACTGATTCTTCCACTAGGAGATTATGTACTTGTCTCTGTTTGTTTTTAAGAATTTTGGATTAACTCATGTACTCAGTCTTGTCATTGCAGTAGAAAATATTTGAAATACCTTATTTTCTCTAATAATTCCTAAATCTGATCAGCTTATTTTTCCCTGCACATATTCTGATTTGAGTGAGAGCCACACACTTTCAGTTCATTCTCACCTTTACAATACCAGGGTGTTCTCATTATCTCCTTTTAGCCTCATTACCTTCAGAAATCTTTTCTGGATGTATTATTTATTTCACTATTTTTCTCTTTTGTTCTACATCTGTATATTAGTCTAGGCTGCTCCCCTTTTGATACATTTTTTAAAAACGTATTTTAAGATACATGGCTAGCTTCCCTGGCTGGCTTCAAGTCTAGATTTGAGTATTCTTTCAATGAAATTTTTTTTAAGCATTTAAAAAAATTATTTATTTGAGAGAGAGTGTGCTCCTGAGTGAGCATGAGGGGGGAGGGGCAGAGGGGCAGCGGGATAAGCAGCCCAGGACCCTGGGATCAGGACCTGAGCCCAGGGCAGATGCTTAACTGACTGAGCCACCCGGGTGCTCCAAGTATTCTTTCAAGGCAACTTCTTGTGACTGACTTCCATCAGTTCACAAAACATGTTCGGAGCCTACTTTACATTCTTATTTTTAATTACCAGCTTTTCAGAGAGTATATAATCAGATTTCTGTTTTAAAGACCTAACACTACAGACCTGTGTATAATGAATTGGAGGGTGCCAGGAATAGAAGTGGAAAGATCTTACGTAGTTTTCCACTCTAGTCTCTACCATGGCATAGTACTTAGCTTGGATTTTTAATATATGGTCATTTACTGAGTGGTGGATGTATTCCTTTTCATCTTTTGATCCAGTGTCAGTAATTGCATTCCTCTGCTCTGCCTACATTTGTAGATCTGAATTTTGGCCATTTTAGCTCTTTCGCATTCAGTCAGTATTATGTTATTTTGTACCAGGTATGATAAATGTTCTTGTGTCCTTAGATGTATATACTCTTAAGTAGAAAATTATTTTTTTGTTTTTTAATCAAGGCAATATACTAATGACTTACAATGAAATGCAGCTGCTGCTCCACACTCTTGTTTCTGTTTTTAGCTTTTCAGGTGGTTACTTACATTTCTAAGTAATATGCTTCATCCTTGATTTTTCAACTGCAGATAGTATCTATTAATTTCCTATTGTGATACATGAAGATTTAGGTAAACTATACAGCTCCATAAATCCCTACTTTCTGATTTTTTAAAGTGATATCATTTTTAGTTTCTTATTACTTTTACAGTTTATATAACATCCTAAAATACCTATTTTTTTGGTTAACTCCCCACTTTGGAAAGGATGACTACTAGTGGACCTATCTTTTCCTTTCCCATTTTTTAGCCCACTCCTAACTCTCATTTGGTGTCCATCTATAATTGTATTTTGACATTATCAAGGTTGATAACATTTTATTATCATAGTTAAATCTCCTATGATTTATATATATTGGTTGAGTGCAGTAGTTGAAAAACAGTACTGTGAACAGTTGTCTTCTACCTTTTCTGTCCTTTAATCTCTCATAGAGGTGCCTTCCCTGCAGGCAACTGTTAATTAGTCTCTTGTGTAATTTTCTGAATATTTTATGCAGATGAGTTTATATACATATGTTCTTTTCTAAGCCTTTCCTTACGAACACAGATAACATATGTAAAGTCAATAAATAATAAAACGAACGCCATTGCAACTACCAGCTAGGTCAAGGGATAGAATAGTGTCAGCTTCCAGAAACTCCTTATGTATTCCTTCTTCATGGTAGGTCTTTCTACCACCTTTCCTGAGGTAACAGTATCCTGACCTTTTGATAGTTATTTATTTGATATTCTTTATGGTTTTACCATATAAGCATGCATCCTTAAACAGTAGGATTTAGTATTGTATTTTTTTGAACTTTATAAAAATGTAACCAAACCATATGTATTCATTGGTCACCTTCTGTCCTGGGGCTGTTTTCTTTAGGTTAGCACATTTATGAGATCTGTCTTTGTGGTTGCACATATCTTTCTGTGTTGTATGGCATACCATTGTGTGACAGTAATACAATGGAACCATTTTAATGTGGATATTTGAATAACTTTTTTTTTTCTGTTATAACCAATGTACTATGAACATTCTTACACATATTTCTCTAGGGGTGTGTATGTGGATAAAATTGCTGGAACATAGGATTTGTATATCTCCACCTTTTGTAGATTGTAGATATTACTGAACTCCTGAATACCTGATTCACATTTTTACCAAGAGTGTGTGATATTTTGCATTGCTCCTCATTCTCACCAATACTTGGTATTTGATTTTTGCCAATCTGGTAGAAGTATTAATGATAATTGTGTAGTACTTTTAATTTGCATTGCCCTGATTACTGGTGACATCTTTTCATATGCTTGTCCATTTTCTGAGGTGGGGTGAAGTTTTATTTTTATCCTGGATATTTTGTCTTTTTCTGATTTATAACTATATCTGTAATTACATATCTGTATATATGTATATGCTTTTATTCTTTGTTTTTTTCTGAATGTGAATCAACATATGAGAAGCAGATATCTTTTCCTGGTTTATGACTTGTCTTTTCACTCTTTATGGTACCTTTTGATAAACAAATTCTTTTTTTTATTTTTTTAATAAGTATTTTTTTTAAATTTATTTGTTGAGAGAGAGAGAGACTGAGAGTCAGAGACACAGGCAGAGGGAGAAGCGGGCTCCTTGCAGGGAGCCTGACACGGGACTCCATCCTGGGTCTCCAGGATCAGACCCCGGGCTGCAGGTGGCGCTAAACCGCTGCGCCACCGGGGGTGCCCTGGTAAACAGATTCTTTTTTTTTTTTTTTTTTTTTTTATAGAAAGTGTTCTCTTTATTTTTTTTTAAATTTTTATTTATTTACAATAGCCACACACACACACACAGAGAGAGAGAGAGAGGCAGAGACACAGGCAGAGGGAGAAGCAGGCTCTGCGCACCAGGAGCCAGACGTGGGATTCGATCCCGGGTCCCCAGGATCGCGCCCCGGGCCAAAGGCAGGCGCCAAACCGCTGCGCCACCCAGGGATCCCGATAAACAGATTCTTAATTAAGGATAGTCAAATTATTTTTTCTTTATAGGTAATGCTATTTGTTTCCTGTTTAATTAGTTTTCTTCCCTACCCCAAGGTCATGAAGTCATTCTCCTATATGTTAAAATTTTTATAGTTTTCTTGTCTTCCGTAAAACTAATTTGATTTTTTCGTGTATCAGACTGAGGTAAAAGTCTAATTTTTTTATTATTATTCAGATAGCTGCTTTTCCATGTCATTTTCTCTGCTGTGCTGTTTTTATTCTAGATCAAGGCTATTTCTGGGTTTTCTGTTATCCTCTTGATCTGTTGTGTCTATTCCCATGTTTGTACCACAGTGTATCAATTATGCTAATTTTATCTGAAAGAACAGATCTTCGTACCTTGTTCTTTAAGTGTCTATGCTGTTTTCTGTTTTTTTTTGCATTTTTATGTATATTTTAGAATCTGCTTATCAAATTCCACAGAAAAAGGATATATATATATATTTTTTTTTTTTTTAAAGATTTTTATTTATTTATTCATGAGAGACCCACAGAGAGAGAGGCAGAGACATAGGCAGAGGGAGAAGCAGGCTCCCCGTAAGGAGCCTGATGTGGGACTCAATCCTAGGTCCCTGGGATCATACCCTGAGCCGAAGGCAGACGCTCAACCGCCAAGCTAACCGGGCACCCCAGAAAAAGGATATTGATTGGAATTGCATTGAATCTATAGATTACTTACGGGGAGAAACAATATTTTTATAATAGTCCTCTAGTCCATGAACATAGTATATTTATCCATTTATTTAGATATTTAATTTTTTTAATAAAGTATTTTCTAGGATGAAATCTTGACATATTTTGTTAGGTGCTTTCCTCTAAGAACTTTATAATTTTTTAAAAATATTTTATTTATTAGAGAATGAGTGGGGGGGGGGCGGTAGAGGGAGAGGGAGAAGCAGGCTCCATGAAGGGAGCCCAATGCGGGACTTAGTCCTGGAACCCAGGAATCATGTCCTGAGCTGAAGGCAGACAGTCAACCGCTGAGCCACCCATGTGTCCCAGATTGGAATTATTTCTCACTTGAATGGTAGAATTTACCAGTGAAGTCATCTGGGCTAGAATTTTCCTTGCAGGAAGATTTCTGATTGAATCCATTTTTCTTGGATGATATTGAGACCATTCTGGTTTTATTTTATTTTTTGAAGCAGTCCTGGCCTGCTTTCCCATAAGTTACAGTTTTTCTAGGAATTTTACATTTATCTAAATTATCAATTTTGTTGGCATAAAGTTTTTCATAGTATATAGCTAAACCTTTGAACAGCACAGGATTTTGTTTATTTATTTATTTGTAATCTCTACATCAAGCGTGGGACTTGAAGTCACGAGCCCGAGATCAGGAGTCACATGCTTTTTCATCTGAGCCAGCCAGGTGCCCCAAGTGGGCATTTTCTTTTTTAAAGTAAGCTCTATGCCCAGTGTGGTGCTAAGTCGCAGGCCTAGGGCACCTGGGTGGCTCAGTTGGTTAAGCCTCCGACTCAAAAAAAAAAAAAAAAAAAAAAGCCTCCGACTCTTCATTTCTACTCAAGTCTTGATCTCAGGAGGTGAGATCTACTCAGCAGGGATTCTGCTTGAGATCCCTCATATCCCCACCCCTACCTACATGCATTCATAGGAGTGCTCTCTTTCTAAACAAACAAATAAAATCTTAGGCAAAAAAAGAGTCATATGCGGTACTGAGCAGGCAGGTGCCCTGAATAGCACAGGTTTGAACTGTGTGAGTATGTGGGGATTTTTTATAGTATAGGACTGTAAATGTATTTTTTCTTCCTTATTAATATCATTTTCTTTTTTCTAGGTTACTTTACTAATACAGTATGTAATACACATACAAAATATGTGCTAATCGACTATGTTATTTGTAAGACTTCTGGTCAACAGTAGGTTATTAAGTTCTTGAGCTTTTTACAAGTTAACCATTGTTACTTCCGATAATGCTTTTTGCATAATAGACTATTTTGTCTAATATTTTAAAAACTTACCAGCTTTCTTTTAATATTTGGATGGTATTTTTTATCTTTTTATTTTTACCTTTCCATATCTGTAAACAATATAATTTTTTTTTAATTTAGGCTGGCAGTCTTTTTCTTTAACTGGAACACTTAGTTAATTTATGTTTACTGTAATTAGTGATATATATGGATTTAAATCTGCTATCTTATGGCTTCCTATTTGTCCTATTTTATGTTTTATTTTTTCTTTCAAATTTTTGCCCCTTTTTAAGTGTAATTTGTTATATAATATTTTTCCTCTATCAAGAAATTATATACTTTATTATTACTCTACCAGTTACTATATGCATCCTTATTTCATCAGAGCCTAAAGATAGTACCTTTCTCCTCATCCTCAAGAAAATACAGTCTTAGAATCCATTAATTCTATACATTTTTCTGGATATATCTACATGCAGATTTCCCTCTCTGTGGTCTGCTTAGGCTTTTTTAAATCTATGGATTGATGTCTTTTACCTGTACTGGAGAAATCTCAGCTAGTATCTTTTTAGATAATGGCTTTGCTTTGTTCTTTCTCTCCTTTCTCATTAGTATTCCCATTAAATGTATGTGTTAAACCTTAATCATAATTTTGCCTCTCCATGCTGCATTCTGTGTAGTTTTTTTTTTTTTTCTGATCTCCAGTTTATTCTTTTTCTGGTTGTCTTCTTTAAACTTCTCTGTTGATTTCTTAGTTTGTTTTTATATTTTCAGTTCTGTGAATTCCTTTTGCTTATTTTTCACATCTATTTTGTCACTTGCTCCAGATGTTTTGAAGTTGGTCTTTTATTTCTTTAAACAAAATAAGTGCAGTTGTTTTATAATCTCTGTCTAGTCTAATATCCACAGCCTTATGAGGCTGGTTTATTTTTTTTCCTGACTTGTACCTGTTTATATTGTTTCATGGTCTTTTTTCCTCTTTATGCCTCGTTAAATTGGTGTATTAGTCATTGTACTTGAAAATAATATTTGTTGGCTAGTTTGAGGCCTGTATGATGAAACGTTTCTCCAAAGAATATTTTCATTTGCTGCTGCAAGACACCTAGGGGAATATGCAAGTTCAGGATTTCCTTAATCCAAATCCAAGACTTGAAGATTATTGGTTCATTGTGGTAATGAATATATGTGAACCCTGACTCCAAGTCTATAAGGGGGCTGATTTAATTCTAGCGTGGCTTTACTCTATGAGTGTAGCATTTTGGGACTACAGCTTTTAAAAAAAATTAGGCCTTCCCACATGGGCAGAATCTTAAGATTTTTGACTCAGCTAAAATTTCTCACTTCTTTCTTTTGAGCTGGTGAATGACCTCAGGGCAAATGCAGATTTGGAGGCTGGGTTTGTTTTACTTTGTGTTCTTGCCTTCTCTAGATCTGGGATTTCACTTTTATTGATGCCTCTTCAGGGCTTGAAGGATTTTCTTTTTTAAAAAGTTTCAATCAGCTTTATCAGTTGATCTCACCAGGAATTTGCCTTTATCACAAGAAGAGGCTGTTTCTTTTTTTAACTTAGAGGTATTTTTGCTTTGTTTTCTTAAGTGTTCTTTGAATTATGTTTTATTCTATTTTTTTTTTTTTTAATTTTAGTTTTTCCTTTTACTCTGAAGTTTGCCTGGTAATTTTCATTCTGTTTAGGAATAAGGGAGTAAGAAGGCTATTTGGAAGTTGTGTATGTATGGGAAGGTGGTGTTTGCTTGGCATTTCTACTTTAGGGTGGACAGAGGTAGGACTAGATGTTATGCTGAGGCCCCAGAAGGCTTTCTGTGAGGAGGAGTTGGCATTTTCAAAAGCTTCTCTAGTTCTCCAGATAATTCATTTACTTTATTAGAAGGGAGCCCTCTGATTTTTTTTCCACTTAGCTTTAAATATTTGTCTTCTGGTAATGTTCCTGGCTGGAAGGGTTGTAGGGAGGTGGGGTCATTTCTCATGTAGACCCTTGAGCCATTAACCTTTGCTAGTCTGTGCTGCTTTCTGTCATTCCTGGTACCTTGAGTCTGCCTGGAAAGTGTCCATGGGTCTCTTGGGCACATGGGCTCCCACTTCTGCTGCCCCCTCTATTCATTCTAGGCTTATGTTTTTTTCTGCTCTATTTATAAACATACTTCAATCAGATTTCTATTAGTCAGCTTTTGTTAAAATCTCTTAACTGGTGACAGGCCTCATTTTTTTGTTGTAGGTTTCTACCCTTTTAAAACCTTATTTTCTTTAGAATGGAATTCTGGATGGGAGGACATAGAAACTTGTGGGCTCAGTCTCCCATCTTGAACTGAGATGGAACTCATCAAACTTTCTCAAAAGATTATAAACTTTTTGCTTAGAAAACTTACCTCATTTATGTTATATCACTGTATGGAATCCTCGAATGCTTATTAATTAACAGGGCAACTACTTTGCCCTTTCCCTACTTCTCATCTAATTTTCTGGACCAGTGTGCTTAATTCCCAGCAGCCCAATTTCTATAGTGATATGTTTATCCTCTGAGATCTTTTGGGTGGATATTCCTCATAATGGGTATTTTGTTCTTAGAGAACTGCCAGTACCAATGCAGCTTCCATTTGAACTTTGTCCAGTTTATTACACTCATCCAGTTCTTGAGGCACCTTGTTTTACATGTTGCTCTTTGCTTTTTTTGTTTTTGTTCTTTTTTAGGAACTTTGGATTGATTGCTGAGGTGGGCAGTTACGTGAGCTTTCACCTGCATCCTTTGGCCAGCCCCTCTCCTGCAGGCCTCAGCTTTGAAGAATGGAGTATTTGGAATATTGTACTTACTACCTGCTTTTCCTGTTTAACCTTCACCTAGCTGGGATAAGCAGAGATCTCACCTGTTAGTTTTTTCTCTGCAAGGTCTTCCATTACTTATGTCTTCCATTTCAGGCTTGGATGCAGTCTCTGCTGTTTGAGACAGAGGAAAAGAAAATGATTTGTGTAGGTTGCTTAATGGATGGTAAGGACCATAATAAAGGTCTCTGATAATTTCAACCTAGTGTGTTTTATAATCTTGCCTTTGTCCTTGCCACGATGACTGGAGAGCCACCATGCCCAGTCACAGACCTTTCTGATCTTCCTTGCCAGCTGTTCTAAACCTCAGTCCTTTGATTTATTTGCTTTTTATTTTTCCAGTATGTCACCAGAACATGATTCCAGAATTTATGGGATGCCACTTGAGGTCTTCAGAAGTTTAAATATATGTGATCCTAGATTTAAAACCAGTTAAATTTTAATAGCTTTATTGAGATATAATGCACATACAAGTATACATTTCAATGATTTTTAGTGTATTCACTGATATGTGCAGCTATCACCACAGTCAGTTTTAAAATATCTCCATATTAATGGGATCCTAAGATATATGTTTTTTTTTTTTTATATGGTATTTTGTATCTGGCTTCTTTCACTTAGATAATGTTTGCAGGATGTAACAGTTTATGTTATAGGATGTAGCAGTACCCATTCCCTTACTTTTATTTTTTAAATTGTGGTAAGGGGAATACTAGATCCATAGGTTACCTGGTGAAGGTCCTGCAGCAAGAGAAGGACTGGGCATAGAAATGTACAGAGAAAGATTCAAACCTAAGGAGAGTCTCAGTGAGACTGTCTGCAAAGCCATTTGTTGAGTCTTCTCAGTGTATTTGTCACCTCCAGGGTATCAACACTCTTGGTCTGTACAGTGCCATGATGCACAGTGCCTGTTGCATGGGTTCTCTGTGTGTGTCTGTGAACTGATTGATCATTTGTAAAGTGGCCATGTCATAGTAAGAATTGGTCTTGGAATGCTGGCACAGAGCCTACAGGTGGCTTAGGAATCCAGAGGCTCCTGCCTCCCTGGGCCATAACCAGCAGAGGGAGGCTGACTCCCTGAGCCCTCGATGAAGGCACCCACCCTTAGGTCACCACTTAGTAGATGTGTTCTGTTTTGCCAGATGAGGTTAAGGCCGTGGCAATTTTAGGGATTAACTCTGAATTTCCTGAGAAATGGCAATTACATTTTTCCTATGGGTTCTGGCCCAGAAGCCTTCCAGACTCTCCAAGCAGTGTACCCATTGCAATACAGAATTTTTGCTGCTCTTTGAATGCAGGCTGCCTGAACCTCAGAAATGTGCTGTCCCTGTTTGCAAGATCTGGTGAAATGGAAAGGAAACAGGTGTGAGGTTCTGCTCCAAAGTGCAAGATCATAGCCCTTTGCTCATTAATGATATGCTCCAGTATGCAAGCTATGGTAGCTCTCCCCAGGAATTTGGGCCTAAACCAGGAAGATTGCCCTCTGTAATTAGAATCCCTAAGTGAAAGGTTTCAGAGGCTGAATTACTCCCAGACTCAACTAGACCTGATCAAATATATGAAGAAGAATGTGCCAGTCAGTAGAGGGCACTAGTTAGTCGTGAAAAAGGAAGGAGTTCCAGAGACCATTCTTAGGGCCCATTCTCCATTGGGTAGGGTAGCTTGAACCTTTGCCAGCGCTCCCAGGACTAGGGTCCCCTTGATCAGCTGTCAGTCTGCCCCACTCAGGTGCCTTCAAACACTGCAGTCCTATCTAACTCCTATTGTCCATGGGATCCCTGGAAATGGGCTCGTATCTTAATTCCCTTCTATATTGTACTGCCCAAGAGAACTTTCTGTGATGATGGGATGTACTACGTCCAGGGTGTAGCCACATATGGCTATAGTGTGGTAGCCACCTGCAACGTGTGGCCATTGAGCAGTTGAACTGTGGTTAGTGTGACTGAGGAGCTAAATTTTACTTTTTTTACTTTAAAATTGTATTTATTTTGTTTCAAGTATTTAAATTCTAATTAGTTAATACATAGTGTAATAATGACTTCAGGAGTATACATTTTTAATTTTACTTAAATAGCCAGAAGTGTCAGCCACGGCATCTTCTGTTTTTGGGACCCTTAACTGAAATGGCACAATAACATCTCTCAGCCTCAGTGACAATAATGGTCATTACTCGATAAGGAGGGTCACAGAATAGTGCTAGTAAAGCCCTCAGCACTGTGTGGGGGCATATAGTTCTGAGTCAACATTAGGCTTTGTTACTATCGCTTTTTGCCAGCTCCAGCGTCAGTCTTAAGCTAAGCTACTGAGTAATGAGGCCCTTTTTATTTTGAACATCGCTCGCTTATGGTAACAAAGCTCTAAATAAGAAATGAGGGCTCCTCCAAACACACATGAGGGAAACACCATAAATGGAAATGTATCTGCACATCAGACATGGAGCTTCGTTAATGAGAGTCTGCTTCTGAGAAAAAGGTTTATTTGACGTGCTGACAATCCCAGGTTTCTTAGCCTGAGACATATGGAGCCTATTAATGTCAATGTGAAGGACCTCTTTGGAGATGCTTTTAAACCAAGACAGACAACAAGCCCCTTTTGCTTTCCATTCCCTAATTGAGTCTAGTACAGTGAGTGGAGAAAGACATGCTTTTAAAAAGGTGTCTATGCCTGTCATTTCATGGTGTTTTCTTGAGGAGCTGCTAATTAGTACATCTCTACCTTATTAGGGATGGTAAATAGGGACTGACCCGGCCTTCTCTGGGCAGGGAGAGTTATAGCAATCATCTGTCCTTATCTCAGGGATGCCACACCAGAGTGGCACAAAGCAGGGATCAAAGTTTGGCTTTTTAAGTTACACTGAAGATGAATTTACAAGACTCCCAGTACATTTTAAAGAAATGCGTCACTTCAAAGTTATTAACTGTGAAACCATATTTCAAAAACAATGGGCAATCATATTGCTTATTTGTCTTACCTGCGTGGGAAGAGAAACTTTGTGCCTTTGGTGCCTTGAAATAGTAAAATACCTGGTGAATGCTGGCTGAAAATCTTAGGGATCATTTCAGGGTTCCTCCTCATCCCACTGTTGCCCTATGGTGAAAAAAAAGCAAGAAGCCAAATTGTTTTTTTCTAACTGTCATTCTTAATTGTGAGAGGCATGAATCACAGTGATTTCACGAAGCACTTTGTAAAAGTGAAAAGGTCCATAAGTCAGAACATGTGTCAGAGAAAAATGTCCGATATGACTGAATTGGGGAGAGAAAATTTGCAGGAGCTCATTGTCATGGGAAACCTTCCAGCTCAGAGCATGAGACATAGACTGTGACCATGCTCTAATGGGAGACCCCGGGACACAGGACAAGAGGAAACCCTAAGCTGTGGTGGTGCTGGGAGACAGGAGAGAGGAGTGAATATGTCAGCATGTGCTGGCAGGTGAGGTATTTGTGCTAATGAGTGATGGTGGTGGCCCTAAGGTTAATGAATGTAGCCTACAGGGCCTCAAGTGGCTAAACAGGCCTGCCCTCAGAGGATTTCACAAGGTGCTTCCTCTGCGTCAAACTTCTGGATTCTGGAAAGCACTGAGATTTTTTTTTTATTTCATTGGTTTACATAGCTAGTGGTTTAGGAGAGACAGTATAATCAGCCCTGATGCAAGTGCCTACAAAGGCTGGCAGGGAGAGCCAGGAGTCACAAGTTGGGATAGATGAATGGATGATCTTCCTCCAGTTGATCCTAGGAAAACTCTGCCCAGTGTTCTGGAAGATGAAACTTTGCAGGTGTGCTCCAATGACAATAAGAATTGTCGGGGATGGCTCAGCGGTTGGGTGTCTGTCTTCGGCCTGGGGCCTGGTCTTGGAGTCCTGGGATCGAGTCCCACATTGGGCTCCCTGCATGGAGCCTGCTTCTCTCTCTGCCTCTGTCTCTGCCTCTCTCTGTGTCTCTCATGAATAAATAAAATAAAATAAAATAAAAGAATTGTCACAGCTGATATAAACTGGAGGGAAAAATCCTATTACTGATCAAAACTAAGGCCAGGTCTGATCAGCTCTTTCTGCTCTGTGACTGTTGGCCCCTGGGGTATAGTCTCACCTGCTTAAGAAGACTTCACAAGGTCTCTATGATGCACCTTGCCTGTCCCTTTGTGCTTGCCTCTCCTCCCTGCCCTCCTTGTACTCCAGCTACCACATTTCCTGAGAGCGCTGTGGTCCCTGTGGTGTGCTGGGTGCTCTTCCCCCTGCCTGCCATACATTTCTGCTTATTCTCTTCTCATTTGCTGGCCCAAAGCGTAAGACTGGGAAACTTTTCCTGGCCACCTTCTAGGTGACGGTGGGTGCCCTTCCTCTGTGCTCCCACAGGACCCATCTCTTGCTATCTTAAGCCTCATCACACTGTGAAATCAGTGCTTGACGCCCTGTGTGCCATTAGATGGCCTGCTTCATGAGGGGGGTGGGGTAGGGGGTTGGGGATGCGGCTTCTGCCTGCAGCTTGTTCTGGCTTCAGTGCCCCAACTCCAGCTCTAGTGTGAGACAAGTAAAAGTACTTGTTGCTCAAGTAAAAGATTTGCCTGAAAATATTTGTGTTAAAATATTTATAATTTAAAAAAGTAGTATGTAAATCTATGATTATGGTAAAAAAAAAAAAAACCCTTAACAGAGAAGATAGATTCAAAAGTGGGATTCCTTTTAGTTCAGTTCTACCTTTAAACTCCTCCTCCCCATAGGTGTATACTGTGGCCCATGTACTGGCCTGTCAAGTTTGTATGCATGCTCATATTCATGCATGTGTAATTTTAAGGCAAAAAAATGTATAATATATATGTGATATATAGGATATATATATGGACACACCATTTATGCGTGTGTGTGTACATGTGTGTAGTTAACATTCTAAGTTGTAAGCAACAGAAACAAACCTGGGTGATTTTAAACAGAAAAGGAATTTAATGTTGAGTGGCTCACAGAACCGGCAGGAGGCTGAAGAAGTAGGCTTGGAAAGTGGGAAGAATGGGAAGCTGGACCACGGGTCTTGCCCACCCCACAAGATGTGGGGACACTGTGGCTGTCCCCTGAGCCCAGACTTCTCAGCTGGGCCCCACTGCCTCTGTCAGTGCTGCTCATTGCCACTGGTGCTGCCCCTGACCAACAAATGCCATGCCTGTCTGCTCTTTGATTCGTTCATTCTGTATGCACAGGCTCTGGCAGAGG